AGCAATCACCACGTCTGGGGCAGATGGTTCTGGCTGAGAAAAATTAAAAAACGTACTTACAGTATAAGTGTTAGTTCAAAAATTAGAAAAAAATACGCTATTACGTCAATAGATGGCAGTGCGCATACAGCAGATCCCACATTCACATTTTACGTGCGGAATTACAGCTGCGTCTCTTGACTGCCGCCGTGTGAGCCATATCAGACATCACCACGTCTGGGAAGATGGTTCTGGCTCAAACGAAAAAATCTATTCCTCAATAGATGGCTCTACGTCTCAGATCCCACCCCCCTCTACTGCCACGATCCCCCGCGCTCACTCTGCTTTGACGTACGGACCGTACTCGCACAGTATAGTCGTGGGCCCAGTAGCTGTGGCCAGTGTTCTGTTGTACCCAGTGCAGTGGTTTTCTTTTCAGTTACAATGAAATTTTAACTTAATCTGTGTCACTTAACATGGAGTTTATATTTAAAGACAACATTTGCATGGGTTCTACGGGTATACTTTGCTGCTAGTTAATATAACACAAAAATTTATAGGCGGCATTAGAAGAGAGGTACAAACATAAAACTAGATAGAGCGTCTTTTCCGAGATTTTGCGCGGCATTGTGAACTCGCTAGCAAACAATGTTGCACCATACGGTAATCGATGACAAGCACACTTGGTCACATTACACAACACACACACACACACACACACAACACACAAACACACACACATGATGCACGCAACGCCACCGGCACACGCAAGACACAGGGCGCTTTGCACGCACCACAGCGGATAATATGTAACACAATTTACAATGCGCACCCTGGACCCATGTAGAAGCATGATTATTTCGGTCACCTAATTGCTACACTTCCATGATGAGGTAGTCGTCCCATGTTTGTCTGCCATCGAGAGAGAAGGGAGCCGACGCACGGGCAGCCGCGGGGTCCGGCGGCGCGCTCCACGGGTCACTTTCACGTAGTACGACGCGCCCCCACACGAGAGCCGCTGACGACGAACCAACACTGACGACTGAAATGTTGTCTGCCAAGAAACTGCAGCAGCTGGCCTAGCGGGCTGGCTACGGCTGCCGCTCATTGTCGCCACACATGCGCTGACAGCCTAAGTAGTAACAGCACACACGATGCGCGGCCCGGTCACGGACAAACTGGGATTGAGACTGCGCCGCACTCGGATGGGAGGAGACTGGAAGAGAAGTAGGTATAGAAACATGTAGCGGTGTAAAGCGGTATATTAGCTTTGCGAATGAAACCTAGGATAGGAGGCGGTAAGCTTTGCGATAGGAAAAAAAAAAAAAAAAAAAAAAAATAGTATAAACAGGAGCGTGGTGGTGTTACCAAGTGCCTGTCACAACTGCTTGTTATAAAATAGCAAACTCGTAATGAACTATTATTTTTCTATCAGCCGACAGCGACGTGCGTAGGGAGACGAATGCAATGTCCCTTCGGCTTCTTTGCGCGTGTAGGGCATATATACAAAACGGTAGGCGAGGTCATTCGTACGGCCATCTTAGAGATAACTTCACATTCAGCCCAATGACGAGCGAGTGTCCGGTGCATGACGTTTACTAACGGCACGCTTCATGTATTCCAGCTTGAGTTTATCTCCATCTGTATGTCCAATCTATATCCTTCTAGATGCAAATTGAACTTCGAGCAACATACGCCGCAATTATGGACCGGACCTCGGTTTTGATGACGTCACTATGAAAGGCGGCGTCGATATGCATACATATGCCACATATATACACTTGTACATGTACATGCGTTCGTTTCCATTATAGCGACAGTAACGTGTAACTTCTGTCACGGGCATTTCACTGCCACACCATGTCATCATCTAAAAGCTCGACACTGATTATAACAGCAGCGAAATGCGGTTAGTAAATCTTGCTCCCTTTCACCCATCCCGACAATGGACACCGTGGACTACTTTCTTTGGCGAGACTGCTTGCCCGATAGATTAGACGCCCTGGCACACCAGACACACGAGCACACAACACATCCACACACACACACACCACACACACAACTGCTGATCGCAGTGTACACTGAGCATTCTAATTAGACAGTCTAAACAGTGTTATTTACGAAAGTGAAACTCAATGAATAACAATTAAGCCTTCGTCCATTTGTCCTTAAGCTGAATATGAAAATAAACGGCGCATCATAGATTGACCCCGTTTAATGTACAGGGTTAGTCTGATAAGGGAGCGAGGGACATCGCCGCAGACTGCGACCACTTTACATTCTACTTAGACGAGCGGTGTGACAGCACGAAAAGTCTATGCTCGCCAATTTTATCCCTGAATCTATCCTCTCTCTAACATCACCCTAACTATCTATCCTAACCTTAAACCCTTTGAAAATTTTTACGGTCAATGTAATGGCATAATCTTAGCCTACCCTCTGCTAACCTAATTTCGTAACATTATCATATCATATCCAAATTCTATTTTATTTCTTTCCCATTCCATCCCATCTCATCCCACCCCATCTCATCCTAATTCGTCTGTGAAGCCGACGCGCATCCGCGTGTGTACTAGGCTGCGTCAGCGGCACGTGTCGGCGCAATAGGGCGCAGCCGTAGCAGCGGCTTGCGCGCAAGCTGCTGCCAGTTTCTCGGTAGAAACACTCCGTCCAGCCGTCCGTCGTGTTGGTTGTCGTCACGGCTGCTCGTGGTCATCGTATCTACGTGAAGCGAACGCGTGGAGTCGGCCGCCGCGACCCCGCGCTAGGCGCCCCGTCGTTGGCTCCCTTGTCTCGCTGGCGCGGCAAAATCATACGGGAAGCTACCTGCAGCAAGCTGAGCGAGCAGCTAACGGGACCGATATTTAGCCTCTACATGGACCGCAGGTTAGCAAGAGTTACTTTGTAAATCTATCTAATATATCATTTATCTATTTAATCTATCAATCTCGTCTTTCTCTCTATTTATGCCTGTCACTCTATTTTAGATCAATTAGCTTCATCTCTCCTCTATCATCTACCTCTATCTATCTATACTACTATCTATCTATCTATCTATCTATCTATCTATCTATTTATCTATCCCTCTATTAACCCATCCATCTATTTATCTACTTCAATCTTATATATCATCTATCCCACGCTATCGCCTTCTATACGTCTGTCCACGCTTCTATCAATCTTATCCGTCTATCTATTTTATGTCATCTACTCATACATACATACATACATACATACATACATACATACATACATACATACATACATACATACAGAGCATGCATACTCATACATATCATACGATACATGTAGATAACCATACATACATACACTCATACATACATAACATCATACATACATACATGCAACACTACATACATACATGCATGGCATACATACATTACATTGCACTGCAATGCCATCATACATGCATACCATACATACATACAACATCACACACACACACAAACAAGGCGGGAACCGGACAGAAAAGACACGAGCATCGACACTTACAGACACAACACACAGAGGAGGAAAAGCACAGGCGGACGTTACACAGGAGAGAACGTCGCCGAACATACACACATACAACACATGACACACACCCTACCACATACACACATACACACATACACACATACAACATCCATACCAGGCGCATACACACAATACATACATACACACATCACATACATACATACATCTCACATACATACATACATTACATCAACCACCACATCCCCCACAGCAAACAACACACATACACAACATACCACATACACACAACAACACACACACGCATACATACATGACACACATACACACATACATAACAGTACATACATACACCCACACACCACACGACACACACGACACATACACACCCACATACACACACATACCACGCCCACTACCACAGGCACACACACACACACACACACACACATACATCACAACATACATATACACCATACATTACATACATACCATTACATACATAACATACATACATACATACATACATAGCATACATACATACAAATCACATACATACTATATACATAGCATACATACATACATACTACTACATAATACCATACATACATTAACATACCCTACATACATATCTACAAAACATACAATGCAACATACATACATACATACATACCATACATACATACATACATAACATACATACCATACATACATACATACATATACAAACATCCTACATACATACACAATACATACATACATACATACATACATACAAAGTACATACATACATACATACATACTACATACATACATACATACATACATACAGTACATACAACAGCATACATACAAACATACAACATACATACATACATACATACACATCACATACATACATACAAATACATACCATACATACATACATACATGACATACATACATACATTACATACCATACATACATACATACATACATACATACATACATACATACATACATACATT